GCTGGGTGACTTTGGGCCAATCACCAGGAGACGGGGAGTTCTAGTCCCGCCTTAGGCATGAAAGCCAATTGTGCCAGTCCAACCCTCCTCGCAGGCTTGTCGTTGAAAGGGAGACAGGAGGTGGAAAGAGTTAGGTATGTTCTAGTTGGAGTTGTTTATAAAATTACAGTACTAAACGTGGGATATATATATATATATATATATATAATGTAAAAATAAATAAAATAAAAAACAAAACAAAAAATAAAATTAAATCATAAAATAAAATAAGAAAAAAACTAATCAAAGAAATCAAAGCCAAATAAAATAAATAAATAAATAATAAAATTAATAGATTAAAATAAAACAGAAAACAAAAAATAGAACAAAGTAAAATTAAATTAAAATAAAGTTAATAAAATAATACTAATATAAAATAATAAAATAAAATAATAAAATGAAATGAAACAAAATTAAATGAAATTAAAAATAAAATTAAAAATAAAGTTAATAATATTAATATATAAAATAATAAAATACAATACAATTGTCAGGATTCCGGCAGTTACCCCAAATAAATCATGAGTCTCGAGCCAAACTTCCAATACTTCAAAAGAATTTATGGGAGTTAACATGTCTGCCACTGCCTGGGTGGAGCCGACTCTGAGGCACATCATTCCTTGTCACCCTTGACCCTGGTTTCCCCCACCCCACCCCCTGGGTGTATCGTAATTCATATTCTCCAACGGGACACATCCATAGCCAAGAGTCATAATTTCCTTGTATGTCCAATAAAGAATTCTATTCTATTCTATTGATTGCCTATTTATACCCTATGACTATATCAAGCGTTGTGCCTTATGATTCTTAATGAATGTATCTTTTCTTTTCATGTACACTGAGTGCACATGTACCAAGACAAATTCCTTCGTGTCTAATCACACTTGGCCAATAAAGAATTCATTCATAAGGAATTCATTCATTCATCAATCATGTTCTCCAGTTAGATATTTGCGTGGCAGAAACTTCAGTAACCTAGTTACTATCTTTGAAAAACTATTTATGGAATGCACTTTCGATTTCCAAGCTGCCACTCTGCTTCCCCCTCCCTTTCTGTTGGCAACTCTAAAAAGACCATAGAAATATTTTATGAGTTGGCAACAATAATAAATAAAATGAAACAATTTTTTTTTATTAAAAATAAAGAATAAAAAATAAAAATAAAAAATAAAGTCAAACAAAATCGCATAAAATAAAATAGATTTGCCCAGGGGAGTGTTTCACACACACGCACGCACACACCCCGGTTTCCAGCCAAGGCTCCCCCAGCGACTCACCTGGGCACTGATCCTGGCCACAAGGAAACTTTTCCGGTTGTCCAGCATGGACTTCTCCAGAAGACATTCCTGAGCTTGACCCTGGACGGAAAAGGTGGACGCTTATGTTGGGCGGGGGAGGCAACTGACTTGGACTTGAGGTCCGAGGTTTTGCAGGCCACTCCTGCCCCCCTCCCAAAGCCCACCCACTCCCAAGCAACGTCTTCGGCTCTGGGGAGGCCTACAGCCTTCGAAATCAGGAGTTTGATTGTTTTTTGAATTTTCATTCATTTTTTTTAAATTTAATTTTTATTGCATTTTCCACCAATACAAACCATATTCACAGTTTCCACAATAGTTTGACATCTACACACATTCTTATTTTATAATTTCTACAGTACTTTACGTATATCAACCAATAACTTATCTCTATTTATACTAATTTATCTATTTGTATATTTAATATATTTACATATCTACACACCTTTTTTTTTAAAGGTCTCTTCTAGTTAATCTTCACTTCTTGTTTCTTATCTCTTATCTTCTAACCATTCGTACCACTTATGCCAAACCAAGCAATAATCGGAATCCTCCTTTTCTTTCATTTTTAGGGAAAGCATATCCATTTCCACACATTCTATGATTTTTTTTGTAGGACTAGGTCTTCTGTTGGAATAATAGGTCTTTTCCACATTTGTGTGCATACGCTATCCTGGCTGCTGTCAATATATGTAAAATAATATACTTTATCTTTTTGGGGTAATGATCTCCAATTATTCCCAATAAGAAGAGTTCTGGTTTGAGTTCAATTTTATATCGTATAATGTCCTGTATCCAATCCTTAATTTGGGTTCAATAAGTCCTGATCTCGGGGCATAACCACCACATGTGGTAGAAGGTACCGTCAACTTGCTGGCATTTCCAACATTTGGGACTAGGACGTGGGTATATTTTGGCCAGTCTTGCCGGGGCTAAGTGCCACCCGCTAAACATTTTGTATAGATTTTCTTTATATGCCGAGTCTGTTGTTAACTTATCGTTTCTGTTCCTTAATTTTTCCCATTCTTCTAAATCTATATTATAGCCAAAATTCTGTGCCGATGCTATCATAATGCTCTTCACAATTTCTTCTTCCATTTTAAAGTCTAATAAGTATCTATATGTTTGGATATGAATTTTTGTTCTCATCCAATTAGAATTTTATCTAGTTGATTTTGTCCCTTATCAAATCTGAATTCTTCTAAGTCTTTTTTATATCTATTTTGAATTTGTAGGTATGGCCACTAATCAATTGTAATTCCCTGTTAAGCTCTTGATTTGTTTTAGTTTCCCCTGGGTGTCTAATAATTCATTATAGTTTATCATTTTACCTAAGTCTAATCTATTTGGGTGTATCATGGCCTCCATAGTTGACAGCCAACATAATGTTTTTTTTATCTTTCTCCATATTTGGATAAGTGAATCTCTTATTTGGTGTCGACTGAAATAGGTATGTGCTTGACCTTTTTTCTCCCACAGAAATGCATGCCAACCTATCTGGAGATCATGACCTTCTAATGTTAATATTCTTTTATCTTTTAATTTGACCCAATCTTTAATCCAATTTAGTACCACTGCCTGATAATAAAGTTCCCACTCTGGTAGTCTAAAACCACTTCTGCTCCTACTATCCTGTAACGGTTTTAATTTAATACGTGCTTTCTTGCCCAACCAGACAAATTTAATTTTATTTAATTTGATAAAAAAGGATTTCCCTAACTTTATTGGGATCATCTGAAATAATTTTGGTAGGATATTCATTTTCAATACTGCAATTATCCCTAATAGTGATAGTTGTAGTTTCCCCCATAATTTCAAATATTTCCCAACTTGTTTAACTAATTCAGTATAATTCAGTATAATTATCCTTTTTAATTGATGAACATCTAGAGGATAGCCATATTCCCAAATATTTCAATTTTTTTGCACTCTGTAATCTCATTATACTTTCTAGTTCCATTTTCTGCGTTTCCATGCAATTTTTAATTATAATTTTGGTTTTATTTTTATTTTGAATCCTTCCACTTCACCAATTTTTTCTATTTCTTGTAGCAATGTTTGTCCAGTCTTGATTGGTTTTTCTACTATGAATACAATCTCACTGTTGAATACGGATTATAAAATATTTATGACAATATTGGCGGAGAGAATGAAACCAACCCTTAATGAAATTATATATCCTGATCACAACGGCTTCCTACCAAATAGGCAAATTAGAAACAATATTAGAACAGTGTTAAATACGATTATTGTGAAGCACACCCCAAAAAGCAAGCAGCATTAATATTCGTGGACGCACAAAAGGCTTTTTATAATCTTAATTGGTAGTTTATGTTACAACACATAAAAAGAATGAATTTTGGTACTAATATAGAAAAACACTACAAACTATATATACTAGTCAAAGAGCAGGCATATTATTAAATGGAGACCCAACGGATGACTTCAAAATAGATAAAGGAGTGAGACAAGGGTGTCCATTATCACCTCTGCTATTTATTTTATCTTTAGAAGTGTTACTAGCCACAACCAGAAAAAACTCAGGAATAAAAGGGATTAAAATTAGAAAAAAAGAATGCAAAGTCCAAGCATTTGCGGACGACCTTGCATTCATAGTACAAAATCGGGAGTTTTTAACTGGATTGTACGAAGGACCCTGGGGGAAGAGAGGCTGTCAAGGAGACAAATAAGGGAGGCTGGAGCCCTTGGTCACTTAACGGCCAGAGGAAGAAAGGAAGAAGGGCCGGTCCTAATGGATCCATTAGATAAGGGAGGCAGGAGCCCTTGGTCACTTAAAAGCCAGAGGAAGAAAGGAAGAATTAGATAAGGGAGGCAAGAGCCCTCGGTCACTTAATGTACAGAGGAGGAAAAGTAGGAAGGAATGGCCGTAATGACTAGGGTTGTCAAAGTACTGTAACAGTAGGAAATTCCATCTGCAAAACTGATGAAGGATTGGGCATCAGAGTTGCAATCCTGACTCTTTTGTCTTACCAGCATGAGGTTAATGTTGAGGTTTAGGATCTGGTGGCTCATGTCCACGCTGTAGGAATGGGGGAAGTTGTCCCGAAGGTACGTGAAGGCACCAGCTGCACACTGGAAATGGGTGCAGGAAACTTTCATGCCCTAAGACACCAAACAAAAAAGAAAAAAAAAGAAGACGACAAGATTTGGGATAAGTTAGACTTTCACTTTACCGATACCAATAAAGAAACGAGTGTTGGACCAAGACAAATTGAGGCTTAGAAAAACGAGAAGGAGGAGGCTGTGGGGTCCTTGGTGCTCTCTGAGCTGGGTGGTTTTCTTGCAGACGTTTCATGACCCAACTAGGAAATGTCATCAGTGGAAGAAGGAAGAGCACTTTCTGGAGAGGAAGAGGAGGAGGAGGGAGGAAGAGGTGGGGGGAGGAGGAGGGGGGAGGAGGAGGAAAGAGACTGCACAGTCCTTGGTAGTCTCTGAGCTATGGAACATAATCAGTATTAGAAGCAGTGAGGTTCTACCTTCTAGCATGGATGCTGTTCCCTAGTTGGGTCAAGAAACATCTGCCAGAAAACCGCCAAGGCTCCGCAAGCACCAAGGTCCCCACAGAAAGAGAAAAACCCAGATAAGCAGGGATTAACCCCAGACAAACAATCAAGCAGACAACAATACCCCAACCAAAGAACTACTGGGGGGAGGAACCACATCTCCCTCAACACTACCCTGTTTTACCAAAAATAAGACCCAATTGGAAAATAAGCCCTAGCGCATTTTTTTCAGGTGGCTCATAATATAAGCCCTACCTCCAAAATAAGCCCCACTGAAGATCATCAGCCACACATTTTAGTACCATATTTCACCCCAAAATAAGACCTAGCTGGAAAATAAGCCCTAATGCAGGGTTTTTTGGGGGGAGGGGAGCAAAAATTAAGAAAAGACCAGGTGTTATTTTCAGGGAAACACGGTAGTTGGTTCATGAGATTTCTACAAGCAAAGAACACAGTTCCAAGATCACCAAGAACCCCACAGAGAGAGAAACCCAGACAAGCAGGGATTAACCCCAGACAAAACGATTAAGCAGACAATACCTTAAAGTACACACACACATAAACACACCCAAAACTTGACAAGGCAAGCCACTATATTATCCTTACCTCTTCAGAGACTCGTTTGTCCATGGCTCCCAGCATGGAGTGCAAGGCCCCTGGGCAGGAAGAGAAGAGAAACTATCAAAATTGGGGTGACACTTGATTGGAATCGGCTGGCATTGCCAATTTTGTGGTTTACAAGGCGGTCCTCAACTTACAACTGTCTGTTTAGGGACCGTTCAACGTTACAACAGCACTGAAACAAAAGTGATCGATGACCGTTTTTCATTCCCCCCTTCCTCCTGTTCATTTTCAACAAACCCTCCCCTCCCCTTCTAGCACTGATGACATTACCTAGTTGGGTCATGAGATGTCTACAAGAAAACCACCCAGCTCAGAAAACACCGATTATCACACCAAAGTGAGAAAATGCAGATAAGCAGGGATGAACACCAGACAAATCACCCAGAACCGCCAGTGATTTTGGAGATGGGAGTTGTCATCACACGCAGGACCAGGAAAAAAAAAGTTTCCAATAATTGTAGTTTGGAGACACTAAACCAGCTTGAGAAATCTCTCCTCCTTGGGCCCCTCAATCTGGAGGGGGCTTCCTTACCCAGATTGTAGAGGACGCAGGCCTGCTCATATTTGATGTCTTCGTGAGTGACCGCTTTGCCAGAAAAGATCTCCGTCCTGAAACCAAGATAAAGGCGAAGCTGTCAATCGCACCACAAAAGATGCTAATGTTTTGCAGCCAGAGGTCGTACTGTCGTCAATGAGCTGGGTGGAGCCGGAATCGCGTCAAGACTGCGGTGTCAACTCATAAAACATTCCTATGCCTGTTTTTGAGTTGCCAGGCCTCACACACCCCAACACCTGCCTGGCTGGCCCATTTCTTCTGCAGCTGGCAAGGCTTTCCTGAAGGCCTCTGGAGCTGAGAACAAAGCTCTGGATCGATCTAGAGCTCGGTTATCGGCTGCAGAGGCCTTCAGGAAAGCCTTGTCGGCCGCAGAAGAACTTCCTCAAGGCCTCTGACAGCCGAAAGGAGGCTGGGGGCGAACACATACAAGTGAGGTTAGTCAGTGGTTGACGTCCCCTGAAAATAAAATCTGGTTCCTTTTTCGGTGGGATATCTATCTATCTATCTATCTATCTATCTATCTATCTATCTATCTCAAGGTCTTATTTTCAGGGAAACATGGTAATCAGGAGGAAAACAATATTGTGATCAAGGAACTACCAAGGGGAAAAAAACCACGCTCACAGCAACACTGGCAGGGCAAGCCACTTGCACATAAACAAGAGAGCAAAGCCCCCTCCTTTCTATCACTAACGATGTTCCCTCACTGGGTCATAAAACATCCACAAGAAAACCACCCAGCTCAGGGAGCACCAAGGGCCCCACAGTCCTCCTCCTCCCACATCTCCAATTCCTACTAGTATAGAAGATGTTCCCTAGTTGGGTCATGAAAACTCTGCAAGAAAACCACCATGCTCAGAGTACCAAGGGCTCCAAAGAATGAGAAACCCAAATAAGCCAGGACAGACACTAGACAAATAATCAGGAGGAAAACAATATTGTGATCAAGTAGCTACCAACGGGGGTGGGGCGGGGGGGGGGAGAAAAAAAGCACCCAACCACACTCCCACCAACATTGCTAGGGCAAGCAACTAACTAGACAGCAATCCCCCCTTCCTTCTAGCACTGATGATGTTACCTAATCAGGTAACAATGTCTGCAAGCAGCAAATTCAGGCGAGGTGTCAGAAGGACAAAGAACAATTTGGTTTCTGCATGGAAAAGCATCAATTAGATAAAATTCTACAAGAAATGGAAAAGAAAATGATTTCAAGAATATATAACTTTCTACTAGATTTTAAAATGGAAGAGGTGATCAAAGAGACGATGGTGGTATGGGCGGAAAATGTTGGCAACAATATAAACCTGGAAAATTGGGAGAGAATGTGGGGATCAAATTACAAACTAATTACATCCACAGGATACAAGGAAAATCAATATAAAATGTTCTACAGATTGCAGCTTCCCTGCTAGATTGGCAAAAATGTTTAACTCAGACCCAAATTGTTGGAAATATGGAAAAGAAAAAGGCACTAATTATCATACCTGGTGGACATGCCAGAAGTGAAAAAATATTGGAATACAATTAGACAATGGATAGAAGAAATCACGAATCAGAAAATTGAATTTAATCCAGAAACTTTTTTATTATGTATAACACAAAAATGTAATAAAACAGATAGATATATTATGTTACATATATTAACAGCTGCAAAGGATTTCGTACATACCACTCTGGAAGGAAAAAAGGGTTCAGCTGGAAGGCATGGTTATAAAAAAATAATAGATTGTATAGAGATGAACAGGCTAACGATGAAAATAAAAGACAGAGAAAATTCAATTTATTATAGGTCCTGGGATGCCTGGTATGAGTGGTTTAGAAATAAAAATAAAATAAAATGGCAATTAGGAAAAGAATGAGGGAATATGTAAATATACCATGGAAATGACTGATATGTAAGGATAAAAGATATTGATTTATAGTAAGAGTAAGATGTAACGGTAAAGGAATAAGTAAATACATATACTGAAAAATGTGAGGAGATGCAAAAGATGTCTTGATGTTGATAACAATGTATAAAGTTTTATTTTATGTTTTTAAAATTTTGAAACTTAATAAAATTTATTTTTAAAAAAACCAGTGTCTGCAAGCAAACCACCCAGGTCAGAGAGCACCAAGGACCCCACAGTCATCGTCTTCATCCTCCTCCTCCCCCGCTCTACAAACCTCACCTCCTGCTAGCACTTAAGAAGTTACCTAGCTGGATCACAAAACGTCTGCAAAGAAACCACCCAGCTCAAAGAGCACCACAGCGTGAGAAAACACAGATAAGCAGGGATTAACACCAGACAAACGATCAGGAGGTAAAACAATATTCTGATCAAGGAACTATCAAGGAGAAAAAAAAAAACTGCACTTCCACCAAAACTGCCAGAGCACGTAAATGTTTATCGACAGCAAAACACCACCTCCCCTTTTTTTTCCTTTTAGGACTGATGACCTTACCTAGGTCACACAATGTCTGCAAGAAAACCACCCAGCTTAGAGAGCACCAAGGACCCCAAAATCTTTCTTTCTTTTTTTCCCTTTCTCTCTCTCTCTTTCTTCTTCCTCTTCTTCCTCCTCCCTGCAAACCCCACTCCCTCCTAGCACTGATGATCTTTCCTACGTGGCTCATGAAACGTAAGAAAACCACCAAGTTCAGAGAGCACCAAGGGCCCCCAGAATCCTTCTTCTCCTCGGACTGATGACGTTACCTAGTTGAGTCATGAAATGTCTCCAAGAAAAACCACACAGCTCAGAGAGCATCAAGGATCCCCCACAGTTCAACCCCAAGCTACAAATATTCTCTTCCATCAATCAATTAGTAAACTGGGCGTCCAGCCAGATGCAGGGGGTCTTCAAACTTGATAGCTTTAAGACTCGTGGCCGTCAACTCCCAGAATTCCTCCTCCAGTCATGTTAGCTCAGGAATTCTGGGACTTGAAGTCAAGTCTTAAACTTGCCAAGGTTGAAGACCCTTGAACCAGAGGATCTGGGGAAGAAAATTCAAACATAGAAACAGCATTATCTTCCTCACCTTAAAGCCTCCATTTGTCTTGGTCCAAGCCCCATTTCTTTATTTCTTTATTAAATTTATATGCCATTTATCTCGCCGGGGTGCAACTCTAAATGACTTCTCATGCAGGAAAATACCATATTACCTTGCCTTGAGACCCCTCCGAGGGCTTTACGGGAGGGGGGAAAGGATGTGGAGGGGAAGGATGTGGGAAGGGGTCTCCCTGCTCCCTCTTCTCCCCCTCCTCCTTACCAGGTGATGGGGACAGATGCCTCTTGTTCGGCTCCCATCGGAATTCGGCTCTGGAGGTAGTGAAGCTGGCCCAGATATTTCCGCAAAATGCTGCATCCTTCGAAATCCCTCGGCACGTTCACGGCGCTCTGCAGAGAAATAAAAACAGCAACCAGGTTTACATCATTGTAACCGAGAAGACCCTTCATCTAAGCCGGAGAAAGAGATTTGGCGAGACGGGGTACACCGTAAAAGGCAAAATGGAGGAAACCTCACCTGCCGGAGCTGTTCAAGTTTCTTCAACTCTTCATTGTAGTCCTCCGGATTCTCTCCGTAGTTCTTCAGCACAAACTGACAGGGAAGAAATAAAAATATAAATAAAAACCACCACCTGGTAAGACCCCCACTTGGAATTTTGCAGCCAGTTTGGGTCACCAATGATATAATATATACAATAAATTAAAACATTAACTTGGAAATGGGTAGGGTCCATATCGACTTCCCTATTGTATGTTTATTTTTATTATATGTGTGTGTGTGCACACAGACACACACACTCTATCTATCTATCTATCTATCTATCTAATCTATCTAATCTATCATCTATCTATCATCTATCTATCTATCTATCTATCTATCTATCTATCTATCTATCTATCTATCTATCTATCTATCTATCTATCTGAATATATGGGAGTCAACCCCTATTAAATATAACATAGTAATTAATATATTCATATATTTATATTTTAATATATGAATATATATGCGTCCCCTTCTCTTTGGGCACCCCAGGAAAAGACTGGGACGGAGGGGGGGTCTCATTCCAGGGGGATTCCAGCCCCCCTCAATCTCCCCCTAAAACCAGACAGGACTACAAGATCCCCCCCCCCCCGGCTGTGGCTGATGGGTCCTCTTCCCTCAGCAAAAAAAAGGGGGGGAGCCTGACAATCCAGGGGCCTTCCAGTCCCCCACTAATATCCCCCCCCCAAAACCAGGCAGGGAGATGGACGGACCCCCCCGACTCCTCCCTCAGCTCGTGTCGCCCGCGGGCGCCCGGTTGGAGAAGGCGCGGAGACCCCGAAATCAGGGTTTGGGTTTTTTTTTCCCCTCCTCGGGTGGGGGCGTCCACCGAGGTAGGAGAGGGGTCGGAGGACGGAAGGGTTTGGGGGCGAAAAGAGAGAGGGGGGGGACGGGGAGAGTTCTGAGGTAAGGCTGAGGTAATTCTGGCCGCCCCGCCCAAAGCCGAGCAGGCCTCACCTTCTTGACGGCCGGCTGGAAGCCGAACTCGGCGGCCTCCTTGAGGTCCAGCCAGATCATGGGCATGCGGGGCACGGCTTCCATCTCGCCGGCCGGCCGGCGTCCCGCCGAGGTGGCAAAAACCGGCAGGCCGGAGAAAGGAGGCTCCGGTGGTGGTTGTTGGTGGTGGTAGTAGTGGCGGCGGCGCTAGGCCTCTCCGGGAAGAGCCGAGCGGCGACCGAGTCGGGCCGAAGGAGGAGGAGGAGAGGAGGAGGAGGACACACGCGCAGGCGCAGGCGATCGCCCGCAATGCCCGCCGGGTGGGGTAGTTCCACCGAGAGTGGGAGGGCGCTGGCGCAGTAGCGCAGGTTGAGCTTTGAGGCAGAAGGAAGGGAGAGGGAGGGAGGGAGGGAGAAGGAAGGAAGAAAAGAAAGAAAAGAGGAGTTGAGAAGAAGGGGAGGAAGGGGACAGGAGGAGAGGGAGGGAGGGAGGGAGAGGAGAAGGAAGGGGAGGGAAGAAGGCATTAAGAGTTGTTAACCTAATCCTACGTTGCTTTTTCTCTGGTAATATCTCACTACTAACCAGAGCATACAAAACATTTGCTAGACCAATACTCGAATACAGTTCATCAGTCTGGAATCCTTATCACGTATGTGATATTAACACAATTGAGAAAGTCCAGAAGTATTTCACAAGAAGAGTTCTCCACTCTTCTACCCGTTGTAGAATACCTTATGCCACCAGACTCGAAATTCTAAAACTAGAAAACCTCGAATTACGCTGTCTTCGGTCCGACTTAAGCATGGTATATAAAATCATACATTGCAATGTCCTACCTGTCAATGAATACTTCAGCTTTAACCATAACAACACAAGAGCACACAACAGATACAAACTCAAAGTAAACCGCACCAAACTTGATTGCAGGAAATACGACTTCAGCAATAGAGTGGTCAATGTCTGGAATACTCTACCCGACTCTGTAGTCTCTTCCCCAAACCCCAAAAACTTTAACCTTAGACTGTCTACTATTGACCTCACCCCTTTCCTAAGAGGTCTGTAGGGGGCGTGCATAAGCGCACCAACGTGCCTACCGTCCCTGTCCTATTGTTTCTCTTATTCTTTTATTTTTCTTGTATGTACCCATTTCATATATTCACAACTATGTATACACTTGTACTTATTATCTTGTAAACAATTGACAAATCAAATAAATAAATAAAGAAGAGAGAGGGGAAGAAAAGAAAAGAGGGAAAGAAGAAGGGAAGGGAAGGGAGAGGAGGGAGGAAGAAAAGATTGAATTAAAAAGAAAGAGAAAAAGGAAATAAAAAGGAAGAGAGGAAGGAAGGAAAAGGGAAACAGAAGAAGGGCAGGAATGGGAGAGGAGGAGAGAAGAAAAGAAGGAAGGGGACAGGACGAGATAGAGGGAGAAGAGAAGAAGGAAGGAAGAGGCGGGAGGGAGGGAAGAAGAGAGAGGGGAAGGAAAAAAGGAAAGAAAGAAGGGAAGGCTTGGGAGAAGAGGGGAGGGAGGAAGAAAAGAATGAAAAAGAAAGAAAGAAAAGAAAGAAAAAGAGGAAGGAATGGGGAGAGGGAAAAAGAGGGAGGGAGGAAAAGGGGAACAGAAAATGGGAAGGAATGGGAGATGAGGGAGGGAGGAAAAGGGGAGGAGAGAAGAAGGGAAGGAAAGTGGCTGGAGGAGAACGAGGAAGGAAGGAAAAGAGAAGAAGCGGAGGAAGGGGAAGGGGAGAGATGGAGGGAGGAAGAAAATAATGAATGAAAAAGAAACGACAAAAAAGAAAATGGAAGGAAGGAAGGAAGGGGAGAGGGGGGGAAAGGAGGAAGGAAAAGGGAGACAGAAGAAGAGAAGGAATGGGAGAGGAGGAAGGAAGGTAAAGAGGAGAGAAGAAGGGAAGGAAGGAGATAGGAGGAGAGGGAAGGAGAAGAGAAGGAAGGAAGGAAGGAAGGAAGGAAAATAGGAAAAGAAGGGAAGGAATGGGAGAGGGAAGGAGGGAGGAAGAAAAGAATGAATGAAAAAGAAATGACAAAAGGAAGAAAAAAGAGAAAAAAGGGAAGGAAGGAACGGGTAGAGGGAAAAATGGGGAGGAGCAAGGAAAAGGGGAACAGAAGACAGGAAGGAATGGGAGAGGAGGGAGAAAAAGGAGTAGAGAAGAAGGGAAAAAAGGGAAAAGGAGGAAGGAGGGAGGAAGGAGAGAGGGGGACAAAAGGGAAGGAATGGGAGAGGAGGGAAGGAGGAAAAGGAGGAGAGAAGAAGGGAAGGAGACAAGCATGTTTTAAAAGGGGAGGACTTCATCTCCCAGAATTCCCTAGCCAACCATTCATTTAGCAACATCCCTGAAAAACAGCGGCTTAGAACAGTCCTCACCCTTACGACCAAACAGCCGTATCTCCTTGGTCCCATGAACCAAATTTGGACACCTTGACAAAGCGGCAGGCTTCACACTATTTACTTAACAACGGCTAGGATTCACTTAATGACCTTGGCCACACAGCTCATCCCATCGGGCCCCCGCTTTGCTTAGCAGCAGAAAACACCCTGATCCCCCATTTGCCGGTTGCCATTCGAGGGTTTAAAAACTTGATTCATTTATTCATTTATTTTTTGACTGTGACAGGTTGCGACCAGCAGGTGGCGGTGCAAGCCTTCTGTTTTCACTTTATCTATAAACAGCGCCCCCTTTTGATCTTCACAGAAGAAGAGCAAACCAGCTTCTTGGGGGGGATTATCGACCACATCCAAAGGGTCTTAAGGGGGGGGGGGTGTCAAAAAATTTAGCAACCAGTTCTCTGCTGCGTAGGTGTGGCCAAGGTGGGCATGGCCTAGTCGTCCTGCCCTGTGGCAGGGGGGTGTTTTCCCTGCACTTACCTGGCATCCAAAATGGGCCACAGGGGGCCTCCTGGGAGGGGAGGGCGGGGCCAGCCAGGGGTGGGATTTAAAAATGATAAAATTAGCAAGCGGTTCAGTCAAACCGGGTTGACCCTGGTCTCAAACTAGGATAGACAAATCTCTTAAGGTTCTGCTTTCAGGTCAAAATATGCGTAGGGTTGTGTGGTTGTGTAATCGGGGGAACGGCTCGCATCTAGAGATTATTGGGTTGCTCCATCATGACTGGAGGTTTTCAGAGAAGAGATCGGGCAACCTCTATCTGGAATGGTAGAAGGTCTCCTGCTCGGGCAGGGGGTTGGAATAGATGACCTCCAAGGTCCCTTCCAACTCTATGATTCTGTATGTGTCTCCTGCTCGAGCTCGGGTTTGATGACCTCCAAGATACCCTCCAACGTTATGATTCTTTAAGGCTCTCCTGCTCAAGGAGGAGGTTGGACTGGATGACCTTCAAGATCCCTTCCAACTCTAGGATTGTTTAATGGTCTCCTGCTGGAGCAGGGGGGATGGACTAGATGACCTCCAAGGCCCCTTCCAACTTGGTCGTTCTGTGTTCCAGGTGTTCTTTGCGTGTGTTCGTTTTTGCTTCCTCTTTGACACAAATGCTTTTCTATGTGGACCAAATAGCGACTTCAGCAACGCCAACACTCGGCAAGCTCCCAAGGATGTTCCCCAGATGTGCCTCAATGACTCTTTAGTCTTCCTCCTCCTCCTCCTCTCTCCCAACCCCCTCTCCCTTCTAGCTATGATGACATTCCCTAGTTGGGTCCAGAGACGTCTGCGAGAAAACCACCCACCTTAGAGACCCTCAAGGATTCAATAGTCTTCCTCCTCTATCTCCTCTTCGAGCTGGAAAAAAAAAGAGGCCTTGATCCTGGTTTGTTTTCCTCTTGGGAATGTCGGTGCCTTCCCAGCACCCCACACCGCCCCACTCTTCCTTCCCCACCCCTGGGTGACGAATCTGCCCCCGCTCCAAAAAATAGACGCTCCGCCAGAAGGCAACATCAACAACCTATTTTTAACACACGCAAAAAGGAGGCGACAAAAATAAACCAACATCCCCTTCATTATCTTCCAATAGCTGCTTCCCTCAACCCCCACATGGCTTTTTGGGGAAGTCTGGGGGGCTAAAAGTCCCATCCTGCTGAGTGCCAGGGATCCGGCTCTGCCCCCCCCCCCTTCTCTCATTTAGGGAACAAACAGCTGTGGAAGAAAAAAAATGGGGGGGAAAAAATCCCCTGATTTGGATTTACAACTGTTGCAGGGCTGCCAGAGAGGAGGGTGGGGTCATGTGATAGAATATTCAGAAGCCGGGAAACTGGCATGTACTTAATCCAGTTGCCACATCCCAGGGTGACGTGATTTCCCCAAGGCATGATTCCCTGAACACCTGGGTTGATTCACTTAATGACAGGGAGCAAAAGGAACATATTTGGAGGAGGAGCGGGCAGGACTCATTGAACAACAGCTTTGCTTGGCCAGAGAAATTGTGCACCCAGTCATGGCTGGTAAGCTGAGGACAACGTCCTTGATGTTAAGGATTAGAAAGGAAAGTGGTTAAGTCACCACCTAGAAAAGAGGTGCCCAGGAATTCTAGTTCCGCCTTAGGTATCAAAGCCAGCTGGGTGACTTTGAGCCAATTAACTGGGAGAATAGGAGTTCTAGTCCTGCTTCTGGCACAAAAAGCAGCTGGGTGACTTTGAACCAATCAACTGGGAGACTGGGAGTTCTAGTCCCGCCTTAGG